TTCTATTAACTGAGTCTTCGCATTTCGTTTCTTTTCCTGTTTAAGTCCATTATGTGTGCATTTCAACTTTGCAAGAAAGAAAGCAATGCAATAAATTGCTTTTGCGTAATTTTAGCACTCGAGAAACTCACATAATGCAGACAACATCTTTTGATTGTTTTATCTGTTATATTTATTTTGAACATCTCATCATGAAAATCCAGAAGATTAGGTACTTATCGTCCTATTTTTGTCTCCATGAGTTTTTACAGCATTCATTGCAAATATATAGTGTCATGAAAATGATGTGTGCCTTAATGTAGATTCAGCTTTTTTTGGCGATTCTCATGCAAATAGTTCTATATTGAGTCTCATTTTGATCTCATCTGCATTATTCCTGTTTTCGATGCTGTTGTATGGCGTATATATTTTAGTCTTCTCAATAAACACTGGACATTAGTAAATACTTAGGACGCTGCACAATGCTGGGCAACTATTCGGGCAACTATTCCTCAGTTTTTTAAAGAGCATGGAATGCAATGAATTGGATTATTGCAGCTAGCTCCATAAAGGATAAAGGATTCGGCGTCTTCAATGCCCTCTGAGGGCATTGAAGACGCCGAATCCTTTACCTTTTATCAGCTCCATAACAATGATAATAATTCTTTGACAAAATGCAAACCGGAATAAAATGAATTTCATTTTTACATAATCATGATTAGTATTTACCACTTATTTTTTTTGCAAGCGTACCTGAACCGTCTCTTCACAGACACTCGTACGCGCATAGGATTTAGGTCGCTCTATCGCTAAGTTTTAGTGGAATTTATATCTAAGGGAGAACTGAGACATATTTCAGACTCAAATCCTATGGTTCTGCTCCGCCACATGTGTTCCAATCGCACAAATCACTTTTGAGTTGCCAGCAAATCAAAACTAAACGCATGTAACACTTAGGGATATATATAAGCGGCCTGCAAATTGCTCAAACAGGCAAGTCTAAAATTGGTTAGCAATTTATTGGCATACTTAAGAAGGAGCTCAACCTTCAAAACTGTCTTCGATTATTTGCCGTGCTCGCTAAGTTACGAATCGAAAAAAATAAAAGCTTGATTCGAGCAAAATTATTCAAAACCGCTTAGATGGGTCAGTGTTGATATTAAGGCCCTATTTAAGTACTTTTTAACTAGTTTACACGCTGGAAATGGGCTTGTTAGGCTCGATCAACTTTTTGCATTATGCAGTCTTTTCTCCGTTATCGGAGTTCTGCTTTTCCCCAGACACTGGTTGTGCGGGAGCCATGTATGTATACAGCTTCCCCTATTTCCAGTTTGTTATATTTACTGAATAATAAAGATCGCCTTTTTAGGCAAACCAGGGGTATGAGAACTCCATTGGGTTTTTACGCCTTTATTTTGAGTGATCATTTCATACCTAGTCTATACAAGTTAATTTCTTATTCTCTTCAAAACTATTTAATGAGTGGATTGAGCTAACTTATTGGATGTCTTTTGTTTTGTTTTTCGTATTTTTTGCTGGTTATGTTCTCAGTACTTTGTACTAGTTAAGGCATGCCTTGAGCGTAATAAATCTTATATATAAAGCTGAATGTCTGTTTGTCTGTCTGTATGTATGTGTGTACGTATGTTCCGAATAAAAAATTCCATTTCTGAGCCGATCCGGACCAAACTTGGCACACATACACTTCGGGGCAGGGCGGGTGTCATAGGCTACTTTTGGTCATCGATCGATATCGATTTTATCGATTTTTATCGATTTTTTTGCTGAGTTCACCTACGGAACTGGGAGTTGGCACAGGGGGGTAATCGAGCATGGGGATTCCGAATACAATATTGGTTTTCAGGATTATCGATTACTTTTATCGATTTTATCGATTTTTTTTGCAAAGTTTGAGCTACGGGGCTGGGAGTTGGCACAGGGGGGTAATCGAGCATGGGGATTCCGAATACAATATTGGTTTTCAGGATTATCGATTACTTTTATCGATTTTATCGATTTTTTTGCAAAGTTTGAGCTACGGGGCTGAGAGTTTGCACAGGGGGGTAATCGAGCATGAGGATTCCGAATACAATATTAGTTTTCGGGATTATCGATTACTTTTATCGATTTTATCGATTTTTTTGCAAAGTTTGAGCTAGGGGGCTGGGAGTTGGCACAGGGGGGTAATCGAGCATGGGGATTCCGAATACAATATTAGTTTTCGGGATTATCGATTACTTTTATCGATTTTATCGATTTTTTGCAAAGTTTGAGCTAGGGGGCTGGGAGTTGGCACAGGGGGGTAATCGAGCATGCTGATCATCCCCAAGGGGGGTGATCAGCATGCTCGATTACACCCCTGTGCCAAATTCCAGCCCCGCAGGTCAAACTTTACAAAAAAAATCGATAAAATCGATAAAAGTAATGGACGATCCTGAAAACTAATATTGTGTTCGTAATCAGCATGCTCGATTACCCCCCTGTGCAAAATCCCAGCCTCGCATGTCAAAATTTACAAAAA